CAGGGTCTTGTCGGATGACAGGCGACCTGGCAATGAAGGGGGCAACACTTGCAGAGCAAAAATGATTGTAAGTTAACATGGCTGAGTTGTATGATCCAAATGGCTAAGATAGGCGATTTTAAATTGTTCTTCTATTTCACTATATAAAGCATGGAAAAAATTTCCGCTGTTAGTAAGGAGCGTGATAAACATCTGTGCAAAAGTTTGTCCAAAAATTCATGTCTTGCGTGAGAACTACACCTGAGTCTGGGGACATGGTGTCTGTTGTGTCCGAATCTCTCCTCCGTTACATGTTAGCTGTGCACCCTTGGCGTAAAAATTAACCTGTCTAGGCTTCACTTCCCATCTGTAACGTGGGGATAAAACAGTGCAATCATGTTAGGATCCATGTAAGGTTTAACATGCACCATATATTTAAGTCCTTAGAACAAAGTCTGGCATACAATCAGCAGTCCACGAACTCCCACTAGGATTCTTCGATCAACTCTGTGAGCGAATGCACACATAAATATTTCACTTTGAATTAAAGGCACTTTGAAAACTTCGTAGGAAGTTGCTACTAAGATGATTAGGTGAAATCATTTATAGACAATGAAAAATGTATAATGCTTCCTTTTAAAAATGTTCAAGATGCTTAGCAATTAGTTGTTGGGCAGGGAGCCGACCCAATCGAATATATGTTCCTGGCTTTGAAATATTGAAGAAGATCTTTTGTCAGCCTCTCTCTGCTGTCTAAAGGTTGCCATGGATTATTTCTGGTTCAGGATGAAAAAGCCCCACAGAGAAGCTAATACATTCGGGTCAACAGGTTCGTACTTGACAGGCCTTTCTAATATGGAGGTGGGAACAGCTTCCTAATTGGAACCCAGAGACAGGGCTAGTTGCTTCCCATAGCTAGTTTCTCACCTATCTGTGCCTGTCATGGCTGGGACATACTGTCCAGAAATTCAACATTGAGTGAAATACAACGAGAACAGGGCCGTCGAGCAATGAGCGGCCTTCCTTCGGTAATCATTTTGTTTCGGAACTGCTAATGTCAGATGTGATGATTGAGCTCGTGGAGCCAGGCTGCAAGGGCCCTGGAATTACCCAGCAGTGGCCACTTAGCTGAGACCAAGGCTCACTTAATTAGGATTCTGGCACCGTGGGTGGGAATATTGACTATTGCTGCGATAGTAAATCATAAATGTTAAATTGCATTCAACCCCAGAAATAGCAGGCAAAAATTCTCACGGCATAGATAATCAGGCAATTATTGAGATGGTTATAGCACTCACTGCCTGGCCGCCTTAGCGAGAGATCCAATCGTGCCCCGAGCTACAAGCTTATTTACCCTCGCTCCATTTTTATGCACTTTACTACAGTAAATAAGAATAAATGTTCAATCTAAGTTTTAGAGTTCTTAAAAAAAACTCGACATATCATGTGTGGTTTATGGTTGAAGCTTGAAATGTAACACAAATAGCTACCTAAAACATTTGATTCACACATTATTCAAAAGATAAAAACAATGGGAAAATTGACCATGATATTATAGAAAATTGGGCTGCAGGGTGAAGAGAGGAGTCTATAGTCTTGTATCTTGTCATTTCTATTGTGACTTTTGGAGAGTAATTTAATTTTTCTTTCTGGGTCCCAATTCACGCATCTATAGTTAAAGAAATTTATAATGAGTCAAGCTAGAGTTCATATCCAATATTCAAATAGTAACAGAAATAAAACATCCTATTCTAAACTGAAACCAGGACTGATGCAGTACTTGGCCTGTAAGTTCACACAGTTTGGCAAGAGCTATCTAACTGTCTTGATGATAAGAAAACTAAGTTAAATATCCTGAGTTCTCTCTCTAGCTGGGGGCTACTTTGCCCTGCTTGACTGCATGCCATTTTGCTCAGGTGATTGTTAGTGATTAGCAGCAAAAGTAGCTTTCTCATTGGACGGTCTGAAGGTCTGAGTCAGTGGAACCGTGGTTCTTAACCGTGTCTTCTAAGGAACGTGGCTTCCTGTGTATGTGTTTTCCTTGGGTGCAGGTGGTAGCTCCTCCTGTTCCTGCACCAGCTGCCCTCCAGGGCCAAACGGATGACTGAGCAGCAGCCGTCTTGGTGGTGCACTCCGGGCTCTCCCATCTCCTAGCCAGACGGTGGCCTTGGCATCTTCCTGTCTGCTTCCAGAGGGGCCAACTCCCAGGCAACAGCAGCCAGCAGGTTCCTGTCTCCAGACCCCCTGGGCCCACAGGAGCATATTTGCCCCACTGACAAGGTTGCTCCTGTTCTTTTAATATTTTAAAGAATACAAATAGTGATAGAAACAAAAAATGCATTCATTCTTTTTTTTAATTATTATGTATTTAGTGGAAGGTCTACAGGATCTTACTACACAGATTGGACTAGTAGTGATTCTCCTGTTTTCAGCCTCCAAAGAGCTGGGATTACAGCTCTACCACACCCAGTCTCAATTGCTGTTTCGGTACACCCCAGGGATGGGGCTGGCACAGCCCTCTGGAGATTGAATGCTGGTCCTTGCATCTGCCTAAGTGGGTGCTTTAATCTGCTGAGCTATCTGGCCAGCCCCAAAAAACCACATTCAAAATAATAGAAAATTTCACTAAACAAAGTAATGGGAATTCAACAATGGTTGCTGTTTTGCATAATGTTATCTTCAAATTAATTGTTAAGGTTACTGGATATAAAAGTGCAAGATTGGTTTAAAGGAAAAAAACAAAACAAAACAATAACAAAAAAGCTGTAAGAAATGGAAAAGAAAAAATAATAAGAATAAAAAGAAAAAATTTAAGCATTGACTGCTCCTTTCAAAGGACCAGCAGAAATCAGTAGTACAATTATCCCAACTATCCTGAATATATACCTATTTCTTTTTCCCTTCTTTATTGTGTCCTTTTCCTCATCCCAGGTTTTCCTTCCCACTGAACAAATTATTTTCCTTTCACAGTATCTATTGCACCTTTCTAATTTTATTTACTCATCCAGGTTCTCACAGCAGCAAGACAATACGATGTTTGCACATGTGGATCTGATTTATTTCACTTACTAATGTAGTCTCTAACTGCATCCATGTTTCTACAAAAGCCTCACATTTATCCTTTTTATAGCTGAATAATACTCCATTGTGTAAAAATACTGTATCTATTTTATCCATTCTTCAGGTGATGGCATTTAGGTTGTTTCCAGGATATAGTGTGATACATTGTGCTGCTATAATCCTGGGTGCACATATAATATTGCTGGGGTGTGATGATTTCAGTTCTTTTGGAAAATTCCCTAGGAGGGGAATAGCTGGCTTGGATGGGACCTCCAGTCCTGGGTTTGTGAGAAGTCCTCCTATCACTCTGGGTCTTGCTGAATATTGCAGAGAGAGAACCTGGATTGGTGCATTCAGCAGAACAGCCTGTTCTAGCATCTCTTTCTGAGGAATGGCGGGGCCGGGACTGGTGCACAGCCTCATCCCTTGGTCCTTGCTCATGAGTGAGTTTGTCCAGTACAAGTTTTTCTGCAACCCCGGGGCAGGCAGAGGAGTGGGATTTAGTTGAAGCCCACTGCACAGTAAGCACAAAGCATGAAGGGACACACTCCCCGCAGCCAGGCTTCATTTCTTATGATTCATTTATAATCCTGAAGAGGTGCATTTAGAGCTGCACAATTAAGAATTGCAAATGACTGTGCCTTTCATACTCTATAACTTTCAGAATGTTTTATTCTCCACATTCTATTTCATTCCCACAAAAATATCCCAACCAAGGTTTATTTTTATTATACAGAAAACAAATCTAAATTTCAGAGAGCTTGGAAGCCTCTTGCTGGTACACGCCTGTGATTCCAGGCCTTTGGGAACCTGAGGCAAGAGGGTAGAAAGTTCGAGCTCAGCTTGGGCAATTTAGTGACTTGGAAAGATCTTGTATCAAAATTAAAACAAAAACTAGAAAGGCCTGGGAATGTAGTTCAGTGCAAAGGCTCTAGGTTCAATCCCCAGCTTGAAAATACAAAGAAACTAAAGGAAAAGATTATGGTCAAGGAGATGAATCTGTGGATTTAGACATCTAGACATGGGCTTGTTTCGCTTCAAGTTAAGTTCACTCCCTGGCTCCTGAGCGCTTTGGAAGAGACTGCTGAAGGAATACCACTTGCCCCAAATATGTAAAACATCCATGTGGTGGAATCCTCTGCTAGAGTCTAGTGTATTCAAAGACCAATGCAACATCTCCAAAAGCTTGCTCTCTTCCAAATAGGGGAGACTTTAATATACCTATTTATTACAGATTCAGTACACTTTTCAAGTGGCTTATGGTGCCCATGATGGCAAACCTTGTAGAGACCAAGTGCCCAGATTCCAACCCAAAACCTTCTTACTTGTTGCGAAATGCCATTGTGCAATTCAGTTGCAGAATTGGACACTCAGTTGCTGGGGCAGTGCTGGGGCTGTGACTCGGGTGCTGGCGGAGGGCTCTGCGTGCCACTGCAGTCCATGTGCCATAGATTCACCACCACCAGTCTATGCGATGAGCTATTAGGTGGACTATAGAAGGAAAGAGCTGCTACTCAGCTGGGACTGAAGCAGGAAGCAGCAGTGACAGAGTCTGGGATGTGATAGGAGACAAGTCCTGCATTTCTCTACAGTCTGCCTTTCTTCCCTGGCTGCTCACTCACGATGGCCTCGAGATTTAGTGAGGCACAGAGATTAGGTGGGGACCTCAAACTTAACATTTCCAGGGCTAAATTCATAATCTATCCCCTCAAATTCCTGAGCCTGTAGATGTCCTGTGCCTAGTCCATGTTTACGTGTTTAATAGTCAGCCTAGACTTCTCCCTTTCTTCCTCATGTTCATTAATTTTCATGAACATTAATTTTTATAGGTGTTATTTCTCAAAATTCATTAATTTTTATAGGTGTTATTTCTCAAAATTCATAAATATTCCCATGTTCCCCGGATCTGCCATCCCATGTACTTTCAGGCCTTGATGTTTTTCACAGACCATTGAGACAACTTCCTGCTGGCTCCTTCCTATCTGAGCCCATCCAGCTCAGGGCACTGGCAGCATTGTGCTCCACTTGTGTGTGTTTTCCTTCAACTTGTGTTTGAGCTCCTTGAGAGCAAAGGCCACATTATATCATGTTTGTGTCCCAGTGCTTGATATGATGTTGATCATAATGAGTTTCACTCAGAATAACATGCCAGTGCCAGGAAGTCCTCTTCCTGCTACCTTCTGGACTCTTCTGGGCAAGGAAAGAAGACTTGAGCAGCGAGGAGGGTGACAAGGGCTTGGGATGTCCCGATGAGAGGATCCTTAGGTCAAGATCTCTACCTGTCCTAGCTAGGGAGGCTGTCCCTCGAGGCAGCCTTCCTGAAGGGAATCCAAGTGGAAGACTTAGAGAAAGCCTCCCAGGATAGTTTGGTATATCATAACTGGTTTAAAAAGACACCAAGGACATTCACTGTTTTAGCCCTAAAGGTTAAATAGATGGGATGTAAGTGTTCAGTCAATTTTTGCTGGATCAATGTCTAAAAGAAAGAATGACTAATGGGGTGGATAAAGGCTTAACGTGAAAGCTGCACCCTTCCAATCCCTGAGGTCCAGCCTTTGTGTGGCAAGTACGTATCATGCTCATAGGAGGTAGACACAGTGCTATTACTCACCCTCAAATACCACCCCTTGCTTTGAAAGCACGGATCCTAACCTGATCGCCACTTTCTTTTTTTCTTTTTCTTTTTTTTATGTATTTAGTACAGTGTCTACTGGGTCTCACTACACAAATCATACTTGTAGTGATTCTCCTGTTTTCAGCCTCCCAAGCGCTGAGATTATAGGCAGGCACCACTATGATCAGTCTCAATGCCCAGTCTCAGTCACTGTCTCAGCGGGCTCTGGGGGTGGGGCCAGCATTGCACCCAAGGGATCAAACCTGGTCCATTTAGACCATAATAGTAGTGTGTTATCCATAGGACTGACAATGTCAGAAGTTGTTGACTTGAGCCTTTTACAGCTCAGCATATTAATATGGCTTTACTTCTTATACTTCATTTTTATACTTTTCTGCTGAATAGTTAAGATCAAGATAAAGCAAGACCTATACAACAAGAAATGTAACTCTTGTATCTGACAAGGTCAGTCAAATCCCCTCAGGATTTATCCTGAAACCCTGTACTAGAGTTTATAGATCCTTTGGCAGTGTCAGCCATGTGGATGAGTCACAGCCATTGCTTGACCAATTTGCTCTCTGCGAAAGCCTGAGAGAATGTTTTCTCTCCATGTGACTCTCCATAGGCACACTCTACATCATCTGAATTCATGTACCTATGATATTTAAATGACAATGGAATACCTTTCTCTGACAAAAGTAAACAAGGGGATACAAATAAAAGACCATTTTGTACTTGTATATTCAAAATAGTTAGGTTAGATATACAGCTACTTTCTCTTAATTCAGTGATAGAAAGATTTGTACTAATGGTGTTTGTGGACAAGATACCATATCTGCATTTTGTACTATGAATAATGACTAAGAAGACAACCATATGCAATGTATTAATTATTGAAACAGCTCTACTAATCAGTTTTGAAACTCTCTCATTGCTATTTGTTTCTCAATAAAATTATTTAAAAAACCCAACCCTGGTCCCTGCATCTGCCTAAGCAGGTGCTTTAATCTGCTGAGCTATCTGGCTGGCCCTTGACTGTCACTTTCTGAAGTAGTTCTGGAATTCTTTCTTTGTGAGTGCCTTCAGTTGCGGTGTCTGAGCTGTCTCAATGTCCTGATTTACCTTTCACGGTCATTTTGACTTTGGGGAAGATACAGAGGTACAGAGTGCCAGATCCAGTGAGGATGAGGATGAGGACACGGTATCATGTTTTTATGAATTTTTTATTTTTATTTTTATTTTTTGCTGGACAGCCGTTGCCAGCAACATCCACTACTTTTGATCACACCTCATGAGGACACCTATAAAAGAGGACTTGCAGGACTGCTTCAGAAAGTGGCAAGAGTGAGGGGACAAGTGCATTTAAGTATTCAAGAGGGACAAATGACAATGTGTAAAGATGCTTTCACTGTAAAAGTTTTAAAATTGAAATGTTCACCATATATTTTTAGTAGCCCTTGTACGTAAATACCTTCTTAAGAAATAAAATCAAAATTGAATCTCATGATTTTCTCTTCACATCAACCACAGTTAAAGCATAAGTCCAGCTACTTACTAGCACTTTATTCACATACACGTAGAGAGTCTACGCATCACTTACATACATAAGCTTTGTGATTTGTTTTGTTGACTAGAAGAAATATGACTCTTGGAAAGTGAACGGACCTCCTACATGGAAGCCATCCAACTTCCCCTTCTCAGAAGTAATTTTGGGGCAGTGGGTGGAATGAGTTTGCCCTGGGGTGGGGTCCATGATGGCAGGGGGTGTTGCATAGGGGAGGGCAGAGGTGTGTGGGTGGGCATGTGACGAGCTCTAGGACTCTGCTCCCTGCAGCTGTGGGGAGCTGAATCACAGCACACAGTGCCTCTTTAGGCCCACAGAATCAGGGGGAGCTGGGCTGGGATGTGCTTCTGGTTTATATTCTTCTACCTAATCTTCTGGTGCTGTCTGTCTGTCTTCTCTCTGTCTCTGTCTGTCTGTTTGTCTGTCTGTCTGTCTCTCTCTCGATGACAGATGACTTTTATCTTTATCCATGAGTGACACAGACTTAGTCATTCAGTGTGAGCAGAACCACCAGCCAGCAGAGGGATGAAAGCCACCGAAAATAGCTCTGGCTAAAGCTGATTGGTGTCAGGGTCATAAACAATTTAAGTAGGAAAGAAAAGAAGACAGGCGAGAACCTGCTGGGGAGAAGAGCCAAGAACCACTTTGCCCCTTTCTTCTATCTTTCCCTTTCCTCTTTTTAAAATTTAATTTTCCCTTTGTTGGTGCAGACATTCAAAGGGACACGCAGGCAGGTGACCTTGTGTGGGAAGGGGTGGTTTCCTGGGGCTGTGGGCTTCCGGCCCCAGTCACCCCTCGATGTTGCAGGGCACATTTTATAATGCAAATCACTGTCGGCAACATGGTTCATTATTTTCCTCTCTGAATAAAATATGAGCACATCAGTTATGTGTCAAGTCTTTTTCTAAATACATACCCTTGTCCTGCTGACCTCTTTCTGCTTTTTATATTTTTTAGTAGTCCCTGACATTTGTCAACAGGGTGAGTTCTAAACCTTTCTAACCTGAGATCTTGTTCTTTCAGCACTTTGGTAATTTTCCCATTGGGCTCATTAGTGTGACTTGCAGGGCCACTGGCCACGGACACTCACCACTGCTTGTAGTCTGCGTCGCAGTTGCAGTAGTACTTGGGGTCCGTGCAGTTGCGCTCGATGCCACAGGCGCACTTCTGAATCCCAGGCTCCGAGCCGCCCCAGTAATAGTGCTTCTCATTGGCTTTGCCAACCCACCATGTGTAAGGACTCCCGTCTGCAAGGGGAGAAAGGTGCAGTTAGAAAGGCACCAGGATCTGGTCATTGTCGTGCCAGCCTCTTCTCACTTCTCCAGAACTGGTGCTGTCCTCAGAGACATGCAGTGATGAGCTTCGAAATAAATTTAGTTCAATAATAGGAATATTTAATTTTTTTTAAATCTAAGGAAATGGTAAACCCATGGTTTTTGGTTTTTTTTTTTTTTT